TAGATAGATAGATAGATAGATAGATAGATAGATAGATAGATAGATTTATTTTTTATTCTATGATTCTAATGATAATAACTGAACTCATTAAGAGTAGAGAAGGATAGAGTTTGGAGGAATATGAACAGGCATATATTTCTGTCTTACCTTGGAGCGGCTTTTAAAGGTCCTGAAGGCCCCCGTTTTGAAAAGGACCCTGTTCCTCTTACACAGGATGAAGGCCACCATGCCGATCACCACCATCAGTAGGCAGAGCGGCGTCAGGACGGCCATGATCCACAGGTTTCCGGGGGGGGTCTTCACCACGGCTGCACACAAACAAACATTAAGGCCTGATTTCTGACAGGAAAACAACAGCCTACCACATCTATGAGCTCTTTAAACGTCTGACTGGGGCACCTCAAGGATCTTTCCAAAAGTTAGTGTCAAATAAATGCAGACTTTGGGGGTATATACACACGTGCTGATTCAGACAAAATGGCCGACCGGGTCACTTCCTGACGTTTAACAATTAATTGGTTAAGAAAGGAAAGCAGCGGTTTCCTCTTTGTGAATTAAAATGACAGGACACAGTCTTTTAATATTAAACTACTGAAAACCTTAACATTTACAGGCCATGCATTCAAAAACAACAAATTAAAGTCAATGAGCTGAACTATTTAAGGTTTAAAGGACAGAAAAACTATTCAGGAACACACCGATTTGTAAAATTTGTAGACAGTTGAGAAATGGTTCAGAAATACAGTTTGACATTTAACAATCTCTTCTGTCTAGCAACTAAAACGGGACAAACTAAAACAGATTAAATCGCTTTGGGCCTGCTTTTAAATAAAGTTTAGGTCAACATTGGTGGAACGGCTGATTCTGCTGAACATGCAGAGCTGAACTTTGAGTGTTTGACTGTTTTTCTGGCTTCATACTTTTGCATATCAGGTAGAAATCAGCTTTTAGGCATAATTTTAATCACAATGGCCTTTTAAAAATGAATATTTAGGCACAGTTTCAGCTACTCCCATTGTAGCTATCTCATGATGGTTTATAGATTAAAACAACAAAGATAGCTGGTATCTATAATTGTAAGTATTTTCGTGACTTAATTTAGCTTCTGTTAATGATTTATTTATCTATTTTACTCGAATAGACTGGAAAAAGTGACCAAATAAATAGCTTTTTGCACAGATGTTTCATCTGATTAAGTCAAACCATCCTGTAAAATTGCCTGATGGTTAAATAATAATTAAGCTAACAATTAAAGTATGTTCCCTCTACAAAGAGTTCTTCAGTGGAACGTCTTTTTAACGATTTCTTTTGCTGAGCCCCGCTGTGACAGAACTGTTTTCCATTGGGAAGTGTTTTGGTGAGCCCTTAAAGGGAAACTAAATGTGTTCTAGAGGAGCAATTCTGCTTCGGGGAACCAGGGACAGCTCTCCAGTTTGTCGATCCGGAGAAAACTAAAACGGGGAAAAGCAGGCGGGAACACTTTGTCCTCTCTGGCACGGCCGCACAGCAAAACTCACAAAAAAAATACGGCCAAACTCATCGGGCTGCGATCTCCAGAGCCCGACCCAACGAGGCCCGGATCTCTGATCTGGGTTCTGTGGAGCGCCACAGATTATGGAAATGCATGGAAATTTATGC